TTGCCTGTCTCTTCAAATCTGTTTATCGAAATTATAACTCTGTAGTTAATTCTTGTTTGGACTCGGAGTGTAGGTACCGAAATTCTCTGGACCAGGACTTACAATATTAACCGGGAGCTGCCTTGCGCACCAATCGAATGGAGACACTCCTTCGAGTTTTCCCATATTTATAAATAACGATTTTGCAATGTACACTACTGAACACGTTCGTGAGTGGCTCCTAAAGTGACCCCGTTGCAACGATTATGAATTAAGAACTGGCCGTCTGTGAAATTCTGTCTCCTAAATAGCACAGTCGTTTGAAAAAATGCCGAAATGCGTTCAGGATATTTAGCGGGAAATTGAGCTCTTTCGATTGCTTTTTGCCTCTCTTACCTTTTGAACCTATGATATCTCGAATTGAGCAGCGCAAAAATAACCCCAACACACCGCCTAAATTTCCTTCTTCATCCAGGATACGACAAATCAATCGTTCTTTATTTTTCGTTTGTACAGTGGTTACTTGGATTGTTATACACCAGTCAGGGTGGTGAAATCCACACACGTTATAGATTGTTACATAAACTTGTAGTAAACGAATGCAGCACATGGCTGTATATTGCGCGATTACCCGCAGGTGAATGCATTGTTCTGGAGTAGCACAATTGAAAAACCAGCTACATGTAGCCTCAGTTTTCAGAAAATATGCTCAAATAATGACATCAGTTGCTGTAAATCCAATCCGACTCAATTGTGGAGACCAAAAGACACGTGAAGGCAATAGACACCGAACCCTGTGAGGAGCTACAGCGTCACCAATTCTGGCGGGGGTAGATGAATGGACATTCATGGTCAGAAATAAGCCTTGAAATTGTCGATTCATTCTAAGGCCTTCAATACCAAGTACCGAATTGTATGATACGCAAGAGGGAGATGGCTCTTAGCTCACAATGCTTACAATTTCAATCAAATTACACATTCTTTCTGCTGAGGTTTTGCGACTTATTTCACCAGCCTCTTAGGCTGATCACATAGGTCTTTTTTGATCTCTCACATTGATGGTGTGCGTAACACGTAACAGCAATCTAAGGATAGCAGTTTGTCAACTCAAACTGTTTGAGCGTGTTACCCACCGGTGAGCTACGCGGCTGCTTATACGATGCTGCTGCCAAATACAAAATATAATGCTTGAAGATTATCTCTGTTCCAACATGGAATGGGCCATATTATGCAGGCGACAAAACTCCCGCGCTCACTGTCGCAATGCACATGCACTAAAATTATCATAGGAAGATAAGGTGAGTAAAGCGACCCCCTAACTATACTCACCAGCTGAAAGGAGACAAGTAGCGATGCTTCGAAAATCAGTTATTACAACATTACCGGACATTGATGTATTTGTTAAATGTTGTTTATGAGCTAATGAATAAGCTTTCATTCAACCCAAGCCATAAGCTGAGTTCATAGGTGGCTAGGACAAGTAGACTATGCTTGTTCCATCACTGTTCACGTTACGCTAAAGGGAGCTTACTAGAGCAGAACATATCCTATTCTACCATCCAGAGCGGAAGCGTTAGGACTCACTAGGGCTCTATGGTGGATCTTAGGCCATGGTGATAAGGGTAGATTAGAGATGAAAGAGAATCGAATCGTGTGTATATGTTTAATGTGTATATGTGTTCAATTTCAGGTACTTCCAACTGTCCTGCCTGATCAGTTTGGGTTGTGTTACGGATTATACCTGTGAAGCTCGAATGAGACTTGGTGGCAAAAAATGCAAATGTTTGGTACATTTCAGGAAGCTTTACGCGGAAGAACACCAAACAACACCGCTGCAGGTTTCATCGTTCCTAATTTGCAAAACTGATTGTTCCTGTCCGTGCTAAGGAAACACTCACATCATTTTGCTCCCAGTTCTTTTATGATAGCGTAACACAGTAATACACATATACAAGAGATGCAATCTGGTAGCATAAAAATTCAGCTACATACACGTTTTAAAAACATTTTTGGTGCTATAATAATGAATTAAGCAACAAAACATTTAGTTTTGACGAAAGAGTGAGGTAGTATTTTTCATTGAAACTCGTTATGGTGTTCAGCAAGGGCATACAATTTCGCTCGGACAAGCAGGAGAATAACAGGTGAACAAAAGTGCACATAATGGATCGGGTTGTACCAGCAGCAATCTGACTTTCAAATTATTTATAGTGGTCAGCAGTACTTATATGCGTTTATTCAAGGAAGCCGTGTTTACGTCACCTCAGACGATTCACTTTCTTGCTTCCTCACTCTCATTGCAAAACACTGCAGAACGCCTTGTTTCAATAATTTACAGTTTGCTTTTGATATGCCCCACAAGCTGATCACTAGACTTTGTGTTTACTATACAAGGAATTTTATTTCATTACAGTTTGACAACAACATCCAGTCTGTGCATCACACATCCTAACTACAACAAGCATCAAATGAGTGAGTAACGCGTGAAAATGGAACAAGCATATTCCATAATGTCGTCTGGTGTCTCTTAAAAATAGATCTCAAGGTTCTTTTAATGGCTGTAATTGTATACTTGCAAAAACATGTTTTAGGTCGTATTGATACAGCTTTCATCTGGAATGGTTGGATCAGACTTTACAAGAAATTTAGAATGCGACTTCAAACATTTCCTCCGATATTCTTGAGGGCCTCATTCTTTGAATGAAGTGAAGATGTGTTAAAAAAAGCAGGTCGCCGTTGAACGTTGACCCACACATTTTTGAATTATTAACAATTTCGCGTTTGATCTTACCTGACGAGTGTTGGGTCATATATCTGACTGTTATACATGATCAAACTGAGTGGCATGGTGCATCAACTTGGGAGTGAAGCAACATAACGAACGCCTACTGGAGACATGCTATCGGAAGTGATTTTAACCAGATACACAATGAACCCAGGAGGTCTCAATGGTACGTTCAAAACACTGTGTAGATTGAGAGCAAATTCCTCCAAATGCAGAGGAAGCAAGCATTCATCTGATAATTTCGAACGATTAAAAATCACGTGAGCATGCATAATTGGGGGGATACACAGAGGATTGATTTCCACAATGGGCTCAGCAATAGCAAAGTTTACATTCCCACCACTGCTTTCTCAAACATTACTTAAATGGGTATCATGGGTGAATTACACAATTGGTCTCTGGACGTTTGACCAGATATTTTGATTGCCATGCTCATGGTCCTATAGCTTTTCACACTGTGTTAATCAGGATGAAGTTTGTTTTTTGGAGGAAGATGAGCCGTGATTTGAATGATCTGTCAGTCGCTGTGTTACCACTGAAGTGGGAAAGATTTACTTTTTCATAATTCTTATGTTTTGGTTGGTTACTTTGAGATGTATGTTGAGATATGCTCTGATGTTAGTAGAAAACCCTATCCCTTTTTTTATAAACGTCGTCTGCTTTGATGTTAGTAAAAACCCTATCCCTTTTTCATAAACGTCGTCTGCTTTATTCACTTAGCTTGTACTTAGCTTCCCTTGGTGGTCCGCATTCCTGTGTTTGTTGTCAGGTAATCAGTTGAAGACAGTAATTAACCAGTTGCCAGAATGATGATACATTTGCCTGAAGTTTAAATGGTAATATGTCGCCTGAAATGTACACGGCCAGCTTGACGAGTAGCAAAAACATGTGAAACAATTTCCCATACGCACAAGTAAACATGAATATATTTATGCAAATTCAACTGTTGTGTCTTTGAAAATATGTTCACACTTTGAGTACAAATAGATATGTAATCTAATAAATCTTCAAAATCAAAGAAGCTAAATGTCTGGGAGAAGTTGCTCTTTTCACTGATATATCGTCTGGGATTCAAAGAATATTTAGGAATTGAACAGCCGAGATTTTATCAAAATGTGAACGATACAGATGTTTTATAATACCTATGTAAAATGGCATTGTAAGAAAATGCACAATACAAGTCAAAGCCTAGCTGATAAATAATCACCTCTTCGGTAAAAACAGTCACATGGACTATCATTGTAACTGGACTTCCTCCAAACGTACTTTCAGTTGCAAAGAAATGACTCAATGACCCAGTCAATGCGTCAGGTGCATCGTATGATTAGAAGTTGGGGCTGTGTAATTGCAAAAAGCCACCACGATTTTTCGCAATTCCCAATGGAACGAGTGAATATTTACCCAATGATCAAAGATTGCGGATTCCGTGTTATGAGGCGCTTTTTGAGTAATCAGCAAAAGTAGGTTTATTTACGGAGCGAAAATCCAATGGCTTTCTCAAATGGACTAACACTGCTATGTGGCATTTTGTACTTGACATGATATTGTACGTTAGATTTACTAAAATGTTTGAGCAATCCCGGTAAAGTAAAATGACTGTAATTTGCGAAGTGCTGCTGCAAAATGTGTTTGGAAACTCATTGAATGCACCGTGTTCGTTTAAGTTTGGGGAAGGTTTTATTGTCCCCATTGTAACCGGAGTTTGCAGTAATGTATATTAAATCCCCGAAACTACCACTTATGTTTATAATAGTTTGCAATGCGTGCCTGAATTTTGCCATAACCGAGACATTTATTAGAATTGGGAAAACCTTTGCCGCAGATCTTTGGTAGAAAACCACGCTGGGGAGTATGCATCCAGAGGGTTTTCTATAAATTTTGACGTTTAACATATTCAAAGTTGGTCATGCGCCGTCTCACTGAACCTTTATTTTTCTGAATTTTCACCGGAAATAATTCGGGCACCTTGTATTAGCTGGTACATTTGACCAAATTGGTTTGTGAGGTTGTGGACCCAACCCAAATGTCCGATAAGTATTTTGGGAACATTTTGTGAAAGCCGCTTCAGTCATAACACCATGAACGTAATCAACAAGGCGTGGTAGCTCATAAAACGTTAGAAAAGTTGGCCAAAATTACAGATTTCCACGTGTGAAGGACCTGGCTGTCATGATAGAAATAATGCGCCATTTTGATGTAAACTCGATCATTTTTTCGTTATTATTCTTTCCCAGAAACTTGGGGCTACGATATCGGCTTGATATATTTAAACGAACCACTAGACATCAATGGAAGAGACGTTCGTGCTGTAGAAATCCCAAACACGGCAAACCTTCCAGCGGAATCATCTACTTTAACGTTCGTGGGCTTTGGTCAAACCTGTGATAAAACAAACTTCTGTGAACGTAAACCAAATTTGGTTCATTTAAATGTGGAAAGGAAGCAGAGATGGCAGCGTAGATACGGGCATTTTGGAGGAGATTTTTTGGATCGAACGTTTGGTGCTCTGAATGAGAAGGGACAGAGAACGTATCGGGTAAGTTAGTGTTATATTAGCTGATGCACCTCCTGTATGGCGGCCAATATACAGCTCATCGGTCAATGTGGCAAGGCCACCTCGATTTTAGACTCAACGGAGCAGATTCTATGTAATTGGAAATTATGAGAATGGTTGAATAAATTGGAGTAATCTTTATCCGTTTTAGAAGAAGCCAAGCTCTCGCATTTTAGAACAACTGTTTGAAGTTTAAAAGACTCTCATCAATTACGGCAATCAAACAGTTGGTATAAACGCCAAGGCCTTGAAGATGAAAGCTCATGATTATTTGATTATGGGGAGATAATGGTCAAACCTACGACGATTTTATGTAATCCGTTTGAGAATGACCAAAATGGGAGAGAAAACATTTTAATCTTGCTATGTGAAAAGCTAATGGAAATCGATCCTAGTGAGATTGTCACCGGTTCATTGAATATAAATTCTCTGGATTATCGAATGTGTGCTCTGATTGGTGGCAACCAAGCAAGAAATCAAACTTGAAAATCGGTGAATTATTCTCAATAATTTATTTGGCAGAATCAGCGATTTTTCAAAACGTTGATGCAGTTAACCAAGTATAATTATTTTAATCGCTTATCAACACATGTTGGCTAAATATTAGGAAACCCACCGTGTATCTCACCAGGCCAGGTGAAACGACAGGACTGATATCCAACGGTGCAGGGAACCTCGGCAAATCGCTGTATATTTCCGCATCATTGATCACATCAAAAACAGTACAACCCATTTTCCAGTGGCAAATCATAAGCACATAAATCTGTGGCTAGATGGAAAGCGCTACATCTTCTTTACTCTACGCGTAGGATGAAAATCGCGGCATGATTCATAGGTGAAGTCGAGCAATTCGCGGGAGCCGGCAAAAAAGCTAAGGCTAAGAAGCTGAAAGTTTGCCGTAGACAACTGGTTCCTTCACGAAACTTCCAGTAGAGCATACGACTATATTTGACATGTTCAGAGAGCACACAGCTCGCTGAAGAGGACGAAAACGGCGGCCTTAATGACATTAGCCCTGTGACCAATTTCGAGGTTATTTTCGCGTACAATCAGATTATTTTCATTGTGACGTGGTAGCGAAGTCCTAATGTTCAAAACGGAATGTGACACGTCGGCCACCACAAACGGGACGGTGGACGAAGTAGGATGATTCCATCATTTCACATTCTATGGCTCCCCGGCGTTCGTAAAATATAAACGTAGCTGGTAACTAAACTGACATATTCACTTCTGGATGTTGCATTTTTAATATCATCTCCTATGGTCGCGCAACAGCTTGCAAAAGTATTTATTTAATAGATTTCGATTACGTTGGGCAAAATTATTTGGGTTTAAAAGATATTCCATGGATAAAATGACGAAGACGGTAGAGTACTATAAACGCAACAAATTAGATAATTTCAATATATTTGCATTCGCGTTTGACGGCATATTTCGGTGAACCTAGTGATGTTACACAGGAGACTTTCAAATTTCATAGTTATAAGTTGGTGTAGTGAGCCTTCGTAAAACATTGTTTAAAATTCAATCCTCATGTCTGCTTGACGTGCCCAGGAGAGCACACCGATGGTAGATTAACAGGTGGTTTACATTAAAGCCGTTAGGTTATTATAGAAGCCATTGCATATTTGGAATGCCGTGAGAGCCGACGATGATGGATCTGAATTTTAAAGTCGTTACCTTGACAAAATTGAGACTCTTTTTCTACGGGAGTTTTCATCGCTCCAGCGATCCACCGTTGGATCTGAAACGCAGGCTTCTGTCATTCATGCAGATAGAAATTGTTTTGGTTTGTTTGGGAGATTGGGTGAAGGTTTTTTCGAATTACCGCAGACACATCGACAGTGAACTTTCAGACGGGTGCGGGCTTTCCAGCTTGGAGGCGAGGAGGCGACATACATTCCCTGGGCGACTGAGTATCATGTGCAAATTTTGAACAGGAATACAACTGGCCACTATGTATCAAGTTCAGGGTGGTCAATCAAACGTTATATAACAAGAGTCAGTGAAAAACATTTTGATCAAGACTAGTGTTTACGCGTCGACAAATATGTTGAACTATTAGTTATTCGGGAGCATTATGTAGGAAGTGATCAGGTGGCTGTTGATCCGGCTGCCTATGTTAGCCATTGAGTTACAAATCGGTTGCCCAGCTAGGTGGGCACAACAAGAGTCATCTGACTAGTAATCGGCAAAGTACCAATCTCTACAACACTTCAGCGCCTGGAAGCTGGCGACCTATCGAGTTTACCAATATATTGAGAGGCAAATCCATGGAATAAGTGGAATGGCCGTAAACTGATGGAATTGAGCATTTTGCGCAACGGAAATAATAAACTTGTTAATCCGCACCCCACTGAAAATAAGCAACTGATTTAACAGTGTAAGCGAGCCGAATCTCAGTACACGTTCGTGACACCGTTAAGTGGCAGTTAAGTGTGGAAATTTAGTTGATAAGCTACTACCTGATGTAAAATATTGCGACATAGGTAAAAGTGCTATTCTCCAATGAAGCTGGACAGGTTGCAAGGATATCTCCTCGGGTGATAGAGTTCCACGGCGTGAATGACTGTAATGAGTTCCGAATACTCGCCATAGCAAAAGCAAAATGTTGTGATAATCTATTTCTCACTAATTTCTATGAATCAGAAATTTGAACATAATAAAATCGCGGTCGTCTATTTTTGAAGGGTGACAGCGGTGGTGGGCTCATCCTGTTTACCGGCAATCAACAGACAGTCGTCGGCATTGCTTCCGGCAGTCCAAAAAAGGAGAAGGTCCAGTCTCCGGCAATCATCGTCCGCGTAGCCTCACACCTTCAGTGGATACATGAAATAATTCGCAGAGTGATTCCCAAGGGACAAATATCCAAAGCAGGTACGCCGTTGTCAGCGAGAAAATTTCCAATAAACGAAGAGAACGTTGTTAAAATCGAATTGAGTCTGTATATGCATTTCGGAATACGCGATTTTTTTCCAGGCGAGGGTACAATATTTTGATTTTGGTTGGCTTAACTGATAAAATAAAAGGTTTAGGCTTCAAAATGTGGCGAGATGGACGATGTGGCTTGGCCGCTAATTTCCTGACCGGAATTTCAGTAGTCCAAGACAATCTCTGTATGTTGAATTCCCCTTTCTATGCCTGGGCGATCTGGCACTATCCCAACCCTCGCGCCTCCTGCGTGCAGTGCGGCAGCTAGGCACCGAAGGTTGCTACAGCTGAAAGTGGTTTTAGATTTCAAAATCAGGTCAGTCAGGTAATACCACGAAGAAGCTTCTTCTTGAAGCAAACATCTGAAGATTATAAAATCAATTTGATTTGAGTGAAGATCACCGCCCGTCCCGACCATTGGCTTGGCAATTTCAAATCGGCAGCTACCCATGGGAGTAAAGCACATGGTGTGCATTCAGTGCTATTCACTTCCTACCGGGCACGGCGAATGACGTATTAATTCAGTAACTATTCGTTCATATCTTGGGTGCCAAATACACTCGAGGACTGCGACTACCTGCTGAGCCTTAAAAAGCACCAAACCGGTTGTGGGATGCTGAATAGTTTTCAGCACCGTTGATCCATGTCATGAGGAATGCGTCATAATCACATTACCGCAGTCACAGTGCGACTGCGGTTGACGTAACTCCGTTGAGCAGGCACCTATCCGAGCTAAATAACACAAACCTACTTGCTTTCAGTTAGCGGCAGATGCGACACAACCGAATGTTTCCACGGTTTTTGCAGGTTCACCGACATGGCAGTTATGGTTTGGTACAAAACTTTTAGGTTTTTGTTCAGATTCGTTTTATAACAATGCCGATCAATTGAGCCATTTTTCTTTCATCCGTGCCTGGTACACAGCCCTTCTATACGAGTGCTGGAGGCCAAGGAAAACTCAGCCCAAGCTGAAATCTTTCTGAAAATGGTCTAAAACCTTTGGTCAACAAATTTTGGGTTGAGGTTTCTAATGGCCAGTCTTTGGCGGAGAATCATCTTTTATTCTGTCGGAGACTTTCTAAAAAACACATTGCACACCTAATAGGTATTCTCTGGCATATGTTCCTACCATCAGTGATTGTCCACTTATTGATGTCGTCAACATACACACATGGCATTATGTCCACGTTTTTGGACATCAAGTTAGACTTTACGGAAAGCTGCGCCATTATGTAGAAGCTCCAGTAGAAGCTCCCAGTTTTACCAGCTTTTAGCAGAAACTCATAGTACGAAGAATTTTACTTACGCTGTTTAATTTTAGTGTTTGATGTCACATCCTCCGCAAAGTGAAAATTCGCGAACGCTGTAACCTCTCTGATACATTTCATGCTTCGGTTTATCAAGACTCAAAAATGTATAAAAATGTCCCCGAAAATTTGTACCAAACAGTATTTATGTGGGTTGCAAAAATTCTGCATCGCTCAACCTAACTGAGTTTTCCCCAAAACGGACAAGTGTAGAAAGCTTTCCGCAAAACAGAAATCCGTATTTATTGTTCTATTTCTTCGGGGTTACTAATCACGAGTTTCAATTTTCAGGTAGACTAGCTGCTGGATCCGTTCAGAAAACGTCCACTCAATAGAACGAATAGAACGAGTACCAAACTAGAGCAGAAACACAAAGAAGGTTGGGCTTGGGAGCCATCTTCTTCTAACCTTGTAAAAACGTTTGATTGCGTGAGGAATTTTTACCGGTTTACAAAATACATGTTGTGCACAAATAAAGATCACCCACCACATGCTGCTTTTCGACGATTCTCAAAACTGGAATTTTTAATGATGTTTATCCATAAAAAATGCATGTGAACATCCCCGGGAGACTGATCGTCCAAACAAAAGCAATGGTGCCGCAATGTTTAGCTTATTCGATGTTTTTCAACTGAGACTAACCCTCAAAAATGGGTTAGATCAGATTGATTCAATAAATTTCACTCAATGGAGTGCACTGAAGCTGAGAGATGCATGTCCCTACCATCAATTTTTATTGATTTTGTCGTGTATCTATAGTGCAGACGGTCGGAGGCCATCGATTTACCAAATTCATACAGACATATCATGAACTTTGTGTGCTCCCTCATTCCAAAGAACTGCGAACCACGGTAGTTAAACAAAAGCTATTCCGGTTTTCCGTAAGGGCGGTGATTTCTTAGTCTCTTTAGATTTCATTTTGGATAAAGCAGTGTCCGGGCGAAAAGCGGACTTTGTCTTTGGTCGTTTACACACCCAGTCGTCTGGCGGTTTTCCCCTGTTAATCAGACTTTGTGATCCACGCTCTATGTTCCTTAGCGCAAACTGGGTTTGCCGTCGACAACCACAGTTTTTTTGAAACTCAGGTTAACTCGTTACTGTTACGCACCTGAGGAGGTTTGGCTTTGGTTGCCTAACACTTTAGACGTACACTGTATTTAAGTTATCTGCACAGTCGTTCGAACTTTTGGCATAATTCCGGCTTGTGTGCTGTTAATGTAAATGTTCCGTTGTATTTCATGCTGTCGCGTGGCAAATTCATATCAATGCTATTCGAGTGCATATGCATTGCCGCTTATGTAGTCTTTTTGGACAATATTTGCTCACTCTGTTTTCTCACGATTTGCCGTCACTTGTTTAACGTAATCTTTCATTCTAACCAAAAAAAATCGGGAAGCGTACCTTAACCTTTGGCATGGAATGGAGGAAGGAAGGCCTATCTACTTCAAACAATGCCTTTATGTATAAATGCACGAAATGTATATACGTTTCTTTTTTTCGCCAAAATGAACTTGATCTTACGTGAATTGTATGGTTACTCATTTGATTTCAAAGGGAGACGTGTAGATGAATCTTTTGATCATGCTTTGAGGTTGCTTCTGTTTTGCCTCTTTAAAACTTGAATCTGAGGTATCAAAATTAGCGGGTAGTTTGAGTTTATAAGACACCGATCTCGTTGGTGCCCCATATTGGACCTTAAATTTTCAATGATGAACTAAGCAGCAGCAACATATTCTGCATTGGGCATATCATTCTCCTTGTTAGTTTTGCCTTTTAGGAATAGGCCTTTTCCCATTGGGTTGGAATGCCTTACAGGAAATTACACTTTCACTGAGTCCGTTTGGCAGGTTATTATCGAAGTACCAGTGGACTTTTCTGAACTTTCAGGACCTGACCTGATTTCCGGCATAGATGGGACTCTAACCAGCTTGTCAACCTTAGGTAAACAACATTCTTTCCCTTATATTTTATTATACGTTATATTATATTGCACTATATTATATTATGTTATATTATATTATATTATGTGGGGGCGTATTTGATGGTTAATAAACCATTCTGAACACTCCAGGAGGTTTGGGTCCTGTAATTCTGTTGCAACTAGAACAGAAAGCTTGTTGGCGACGGGTACATAAAGCCCTCACCCTAATCCAGTCAATAAATTTTTTTTTTCGAATTGGTACATGTCTAGTAAAAATTGTCTGTTTATGAACCTATCAGGCTTCTAACACTGGTGCATTTTTGTACTTCGGACATTGGAAAGCACAGGTTACTTATTTTGATCCCTAATGAACCTCAATCCAGGTGAGAGTTCGTTAGAACTTTGAATATCTTTAGAAGGCCAAAACATGGCACTGAAGAATACGCACAATTTAAATTATACAAAATTTTAAAGGCGATTTTTGGCAACAAATCAATCATCCAGTAATTTTTCACTTCACAGGACCAAATAACGGTCTATTCCTTTTGTTTTCTGCAAAACTTCTTCGTTTCACAGCAGGGTCATTTGCTTAGTCTATTAAACTGCATGTTGCACAACCACGTTTCCACGGCACAGTGAAGTCGCAGTATATACAAAAAAAGCCTTCGCAAACTGCAGCTGCAAAATACGCCCAATGGAGAGAATTCCGTAAAGTTCCTCAATCTTTTCTTCGAGATTACCAGGGAAAATATCATTGAGTAGGTTAACATCTTTATTAGGGTTCCTAATTCACAAAGATTGGTTTACTAATGCCTCCCCAACAGATGTTATCTGCATAAACAAGAAAACATTGGCTCCACGTTTAGCATCCTCATAAATATTTGATCCACTACACCGCTTGAGTTTCTTATCAAGCGGGCATTTGTTGATTGGAAAGAAAACATCTTAGGTCCTTGGTGCTTTCCTGTCATAAAGCTGCTTAACATTGGTTCTGGAGAAAAGATTCACACTAGTTCCGGCGGAAAATAAAGTAACTGCTGGGAAATCACGAGTTACGTGATACTTTTAGTCATAGTTGCCTCCACAAACGAGATCCATCTAACTACGTTGTACCCGATGCTTGGTAAGTGGTACGGTTACTTTCCCTGGTTGACAAGTTAGCACCACCCGCTTTTGCACACTGAGCGCAGCAAGGTGATTACTATTACCATTACCATCAGACTGTCGATAACTGGTGGAAATTGGCATAAAATCTCGCACTAATATGCCCAAAAACACAGACAACAGGGTATTGTGAGCAAAGGTAGCAGATGCATGTTGGCGATGAATCATATTTGCACAGTTTTCGACTCAGTTCAACCAAATTACAGATACGCGGAGCAACAAAAACTCAAGTAAAATACACAATGGAACTTGGCGCCTTATCAGTTCACTAGAGAGATATGCCTCAGTACCTATTCATTTGATACAAGTAGATCAACTTGCCCAATATGGAATGCAAGAAGTGAATGCTATGCCCGGATCAACTAATCTGGCGAAATGCGAGTCATTTAGTTGTCCCATGTCTGGATTAAACATTTTCAATGTCCGTCTCAATAACACATAAGCAACATCCTGGGTTGTTCTGTTTCATGTGAATTTTGAATAACTTCTTTGATTTGGCACACTCGAATAAATTCGTCGTTATTACTAATTCGACGGAAATTTCAGACACACTTGAATTTTAAAAATCAATAGGTGATGAAGTATATTAAGATCGTCACAAAATGCAACGATGAATCACATTCAACAAATGGAATCCACAAGCTAAGCTGCATTGAAAGCTGATGCACCATGATCTTTTTGTAATGATCCTGCAACCGATTACTGCTGAAGTCATTTGTAAAGGATCACTTAATGCGCGGGTGCGTTAATTACCACTGAAGTTAAAGTGCCGAAATTTCATCATCTGGTTAGGGTTAAGAAAAGAAGTGCACATTTTAGAAACGCGTGTAGGCCATCGTTGTTTCCAGTAACGGAGTTGAGGTTGACCGGAGTGTGTTTTAGCCATAGCCACTACGTCAGGTTTTAATTTTATGACAAAAACATGGATACATCTCACGTTCTAAAATAGCTGGATCCAAACCGAGCGATTGATTCGTGTCACAGTCCTTATTTTAAGGAAACGAATAGGAGTTATAGGCCAGAACATTGTCTTCAGTTATAAACGGCCGAAACGATGTTACGTTTTCTAGCTAGGTTGGTAAACTTAGGACGATTAGTGAGAGCTTGCCCTTTGATCCCATGACGTATCCCTCTCGAGATGGCTGTCATTCGATGGTCCTTGGAAAATTTATAATTTAGATTCTCCAAGCTCTTCGATGAATAGCAGAGTTTCCCTGTGGTAAACACTACTGACTACGTTATACTTCTTGGAGCCAAGTATGCTGGAAATGTTCTGGAACGTTGTTGATTCTAGAAGTGCGATTACTGGTCCTGTGGTAGCAAAATATTCAGCAAGGAGATAATCGATGAAGATGAACACCCCTGGTTAACGGATGACAACTCTGCAAAGTAGATCATCAGCTGTCAGCCAGAGTACCAGGCAAAATAATGTCTTTATCTGGTCAGATTGAAGTAAAAACAATACAGGCGTATACTAATGTTTCCTGTTTGCTGAAAATACAGTAGGGCATATTGCTGCAAAAGATCGTAATAAGAGATAACCTAAAGGTACACTCCAGCTTTCGACCGTAGTGAGAAAGTGAGAACAATAAGCTTTCTCCCCCAGAATATTAAGGTTCCTTATTTGTGGCTCAAAATGTTGATAGTAAAAGTCGCACACTCCCGGCAACAAATGTCGACCATATGCATTGGCGTCTTATACAAAATCATCGATTTGATCCAAGCACCTACAGTCCTGAGCCTTGGAGAATGCAGAATGTAATTGCACACATCAAATAAGACACCAGAAGAGGAACGAAGAAAAAATATAATAACAGCAAGATTCTACATTCAGCTGTTATTCTTTGACAGATGTGTATTTATTCTACATGTTGAGAGTTCGCAGTGCTCGACTTGGCAAGGATTACGAAACCTGGAAAATATAACTTGTCCATTCGGAATTAGAAAGGTCGCGGATACTGATCGCAAGGTGTACATCCCTGGAACTTTAAGTAACGAACACATTATTCAATGTGCAATAGCTATTTGTGAAAACATACGGGCATGTATTCGATACAAATAGAAAACTAGTCAACAAACAGGATGCAGTGGAGACCTTTGTGAGATACTGACTTGAAAAATGATGCGTGAAAATGAGTGCAGTAGGGATCACTCATTGATTTGTGCTGCATTCCGCGTTATACCCCGTAAAATTGCCAATTTGGGGAATTATTTGAGTTAAGGAAGCTAAAGGACTTACTCACAACGAAGTGCGAAGTACACTGGGACGTTTGCGAACAAGAATAAAACCATGAATGTACAATCGTTGTAGGCTTAACAAAACACACTACTTAGCTCGAAGTTCTTCGGCAAACTTTCTCTGATGTCCCAGGTCAATTCTATTTAAAATCTATTTATATTATTAGGATAAGATATCACCTTGCGAATTCCAATTTTTTTCTTGAAAAGAAGAACACTTCCTGGATCCTTTTAGGGACATTTAAGTTGGAAAGTTCGGAGGAACTCAGGAATGTCGTACGGTGCTGAGGAACGTTCCAATTGAGGTGAACTGAAGATTGATGCATTAGTCATTATTATTTCGATTTGTATATTGGCTTTCATTTCGAAGTATTCGGAACAAATGGTCACGAGCCCACAACTCAGTGAGTTCCTCTAGCATCTTTGTATGCACCAGGGTCCGGGTATAAATTTGTGCATCTAAAAATATACCCGTATATTGTGACAGTATGAAACGATGTAATACAAGCTTCATTTGTGATGAGAACCAGAAACAGGATGTGTCTGTTATCCTTAACACACACAATTCTCGTGTGGAAATAATCTGCTCAGGACACTCCGATAACAGGCTTGGTTGCCATCAGCATTTCACTATGCCTACTAAAAATGTGAGCTGAAGAAGGTGTCACATAGATGGCTATTTTTGTGTAAATTTCTTTTAAGGCAAAAGTTTCAAAAGTTACACTAGTACATAATATTCCTGAATTGCTTCCCTCAATTTTGAGGATACTCGGGCTGTACCAGTACACTGAGTCCAATGCAACAGAACTAGCCTTACGGTGAAATAGCCACAATAAGAAAAAACCTCCGCCAATTATATTGTTGACACTGACAGTCGGTTTGTGAGTAGGCCGTCACCTCGGCAGGCACCAATTTCATGCACAGGTCTGATAGCTTCGCACCATGTGCCTCTGTCAACTTTACTGGCCACATTATTCACAGGTCGTTAGCGCGAATGAAGCCCAAAATTTTCAACTATACAACTGATTGTTGAATGGTTAACAGTGATTGGCATTCACTAGCTTTTTAGCCAGTCAATGACACGTGGCTAGCAAAGATTTGTGCATTAAGATTTAGTAATTCGGGAAAAAAATGGAAACCGTTTGGACCCTGATGTGTTTGGACTGTATAAATATGCGCATATATTTGGGCATATTATAAAGGATGCTTGCGCCCAGATGGAAAATGCATCTCAAATGTACCAGGTATTTACAAAAACACCACGCGTGGAGTAGTAAAACCAGTGATTTCGCAATATGGCACAGGAAAGCAGATATTTAGGCTTTCCATATTTAGCATCCGGTATTTCAATTATCCCGGGCAATTGTTTCCCAACTGTAAAAATGTATAAAGTTTAGAATATATTCAGACCTTCCAACTACGAAATTGAAATCAGTCTTGCCTTTATCAAGATACTTGAGGGCTTAATTTCTAACTGGGACCAGAAAGGTGCTACGTAGTTAAAACTCGCTATTTCTTTGCGACATCAACAAAATCCTATAACTGCTTAGAAGAACTTAAATGCAATCAAATCCGCAGCAGTACAAACCCATGAAAACCGCTAGGCTTAATTCACGTTGGCAGTGTTGACACATTAAACGTAATAAACGTTGAACGCCTAGGAATCTGAGAATCAGTGAACAGTAATCTTGGTTTAAATATTTCTCACAAATAGGGTGAACTGTTTAGTTATCTGATTGCAGGTAATCCAGAGTATGCCGCAAATTGGTGTCCAATGTGTCACCACGTGGTCGTTGAGCAGTATAAGTTTTATGGTACCACCATCCCAACACCCTGGTAGGTTTGAAAACTTTGAATGCCAATCAGTACAACAGAACGGCGATGATATATCGAGAAACTCTGGCCAATTTTCCCCTCTGCGGTCTGGCAAAATATGGCAATGTAATGTGGGTCCCCTGAGCTCCAGACATGCGCGCATTTGTGCAATCAAAAAACCTAATAGGGTTGGCTGTGGTCTGCTATAAATGGACTACTGTAAGGAGGCTGTGTTGGAGAAGTGGTAAACCTAGCAGATTTTAGGGTCACAGATTGTCAGGTCGTGTGCTCTTATCAGAGTACGCATTCCGAGTACCGGGAATGTTATTTGATCCCTTTTCATTCAAGCTTGAAACAGTCAGATTACAGATTATTATTTTCGAAATTGCGTGGGTACCATTTCCGGTTAGTCTGGTACAACACCAGTTCAAATAAAACACACGACGTCTATGAAAATACATGGCGAACATTTGAAATGAAATGCGAAAAACTGCACGGGATGTGATACTATCTGGTCTTCGAGTGATGGTTCGGCGGAACGTTGGCGCTGTTTGCTTTCTCTTCTATAAATTTCACCGGAAATTGAATACAGAGGAAAGGCCATGTGTACTGATTCACCAGTTGCCACTGGAGATATATTTTAATCTGTTGAAGCAAAGGTGTGAAAGTTTTAATGCAAGCAGCGGGAGAACAGACATTTACAGTGACAATTACCGTTGTAAGCAAGCAAATACTTGGTAGTGTGAGAAGTTTCTGGATTTTCGTGGAAATTTCAGCCACTCGTGGCCGAACGGTTGTGTTCAAACTACTAGCCGAGAGGTCGCAGGTTCGAGACTCTTCGGAGTTTCGTGAGAAGCGCACTGCTGATGATTCCCAATAAGGATGAAACAGCTGTACAGTGCTTCTCGGCTTTTCAGCATAGATTGGCTTCACTTACAGGACGAAATCTTCACAACAAGCAAATTCAATTTGGTAATATTTGTTCATGGTCAGATGGAAACTGATGGCTTGAATGTGAGTGCTATCTGTGCAGGTTTTAATATGCTAAGTTCGTATCACCAATAATGCCATGTAATTAAACTGCATATTATGAACGAGGTCATATGTGAGCGACTATGAGGTGTCATGCGATAAATGCTTAAACTACGCAGGCGGCCTTTGGAGACTTAACCCAGTCAAGATGATTGATTGATGATTGGATGATGCTGAATTACAGCGTTTCAATTAGGTTTCGATGGTGTGATTTGGTAATATCTAAGAGAAAACAAACAAAAAGCTTGATACAGGTGAAATTCGGGAGAGATTGCGCGTCTAAGTGACTTTTATCTCTTTTTCCTGTTAGAGCTGAACAAAATAATTTTAATATACTTCTAACCGGTCCGCTCTGTGCTATTTTTTCTCCCTCAAGCGTGAATTCGACGTCTCTACGTAATCAAAACAGTGACATTCTTTTTCGAGGAAATAAAACGAATTCCAGTTCTTAAAGAATATAAATTATCCTGTTCAATATTTTGCTTAAAATAAGCGACAGGTTTTCCTTTACTGATGACCTTTTTATTCATTTACGGATTCAAAGTTTGCCACTTAGCGTGATGTTCCCATGAATCTAGCAGGCGCGTTTTGCAGTGAAACGTGAAATCCTTCGCGATTAGTTCCGTCAATATTAGGAGCTAGGGTGTCAGTTGAAACGTAGAGATGTATGCCGCAACCACGCCAGTACTTCTACCACAATAAGCAGAACAGAACATTTTTCAGCGCCTTATATGAAGTGCATCTTGAGGAGAACACTACTGATTATTCAACAAGTAAAGTGCCTTTAAATTTTAATTAATGATCTCAATGTTAATGTTGTTTTTGACTTACATCTGGAATTTTCCAGCTTATTGTGCCAGTGTAGCTGAAAACGTAGGACCTTCCCGTTCTTACCGGACATGGTGGAATCAGATGATTGCACAAGACTGGATCTCTTAATCGTAGGGCTTTCGTGACACCATTGTATATAGAATTTGCGACGACGCTTCCACCCCAGATATCTGTGGCTGATAAATATTTGTAGTGTTGGACAAAAAACTTACAAGTTATTCAGTAAATATACAGTCATGATGTGGTTGGTTGTTGAAAGTGGGGAAATCGGCCAAGTGAGGGAACTAACGCAGACAGAAAAAACATCAAGTACTCAAAACCTGCATTCTATTACCATTTATCTTTCCTCTTATTGAATTTCCCAATAAACATTGTTTCATATCAGGCTGTAGACAGATGATATTCAGAAGAAAATACTGCACGGCTTGTGCGCTAACTAGGGACCCATTTGTACAGACATCATTTGAGTGCACAAATGAATCGTAGGTTGCGAATTGTTGGCAACGGATAAATTTCATATGGAATCTTCACCTCATTAACTGAGAGAATTATGTGCGTTAGACCGTTAATTTATTACTGTTTTTTTTTTAATTTTCTGTGCGTAGGTTTGCCACACTCGGAGGAAGGTTGAGTTTAAGCGGAGTCATGATACGTTAAACTGGAGTGTTTCATAAAGTCTAAAACTTTGACCGTATGTGAAATCGGTCAAGGAATTCAACAATATTCACACAATAGATCAGCAGTAGGGCTTTTCTGGATTATCTAACGTACCGATTCACTAAATTAATCAGTTTTACAAATTGCTCACTTGCTGCAAATCCTACCCTCACAGTGTATTGTTTTCCGATAGTAAATGTACACGGGAAACTGTTACATGGAGTAATATCTACTCCGAGCACGTTGGCGCCTTGTGAACCTGCATGAAATGAAGTTAATACCAACGGATATATTTAAGTAGAATTGTGTGATTCATGTAATAGAAAGGTTCAGTCAGTGGGTAAAATTAACGTTGGCATAAAGCGTTTCAGCTCACTGCATTTTAGGCTCTGATTTCCTAGTTACCTATTTGCCGGAGGAAGTCGCGACATGAATATTGTTATCCAGTCGAAAAACACTCAGGTAATTGGATGGATTATCTGAGCACGAATGAGCACGGCAATTTAATGACAAAGAAGAATGTAGCCTTCAGTGAATTCAGATAAGTAGATTTGCACCTACCAGAAATAGTATGGGTGTATGATGTATGCTCCAGTGACACATCTGTGGGTTGAACTCGGTTTCCAAGTGGTCTTCCAACACCGGGGATATATACGTTAGGGTGCATACAATGATTGCTGGGATGAATCTTAATTAAGGCTTTATTTGTAAACGGAGGCCAAGACGTCGACTACGTAAACAACCTATCTAGAAAAGTAATTGACAGACGTCAACGTGGTAATTGTTGAAACCGTGTTTTTTCAATAGCACGTTTACAGAAAACGTATTTCGGCTGACAGATTCTAACACTCACCACAATCTTCGTAGTAAGCAGCCGCCGTAGCCAGCTGACAGAAGCGAATATTGTTATCGAAAAACACTCAGGTAATTGGATGGATTATCTGAGCACGAATGAGCACGGCAATTTAATGACAAAGAAGAATGTAGCCTTCAGTGAATTCAGATAAGTAGATTTGCACCTACCAGAAATAGTATGGGTGTATGATGTATGCTCCAGTGACACATCTGTGGGTTGAACTCGGTTTCCAAGTGGTCTTCCAACACCGGGGATATATACGTTAGGGTGCATACAATGATTGCTGGGATGAATCTTAATTAAGGCTTTATTTGTAAACGGAGGCCAAGACGTCGACTACGTAAACAACCTATCTAGAAAAGTAATTGACAGACGTCAACGTGGTAATTGTTGAAACCGTGTTTTTTCAATAGCACGTTTACAGAAAACGTATTTCGGCTGACAGATTCTAACACTCACCACAATCTTCGTAGTAAGCAGCCGCCGTAGCCAGCTGACAGAAGCGCACAATCCACCACAACAGCAAGTAGAAATGCATTTTCTGTGGTGTACAGTATATGAATTATGTCATCCGTTTTTATATCAGGTCACACACATTCCCTTTTAGACTAGGCCATTTTATCAAGGTTGATTTGACAACGTGAGTCCCATGCTTAGTGATTTTATCAGTGATTTTATCCGTTCAGCTTATGCAAATCAGTGTCACATTTTTAAAGTGCACTTCAAACGGTTTTTGGCACGAACGGTGAATATAACCTTTCAGACCAAGCATTAACGCATGTGATAGTAAACACATGGACTTCCCTGGTCACTAATCACTTCGATTTAAGGTTGATGCAAGCACAGACATGTCTAGGTTTGGCTTTCTATCACCACCTTGACCAAACCTTTACATCTGTGAAAACATTGTTGAATTACCTGACCGCTCTTTAAATAATCGTCCATCCTTCACCGACATGAATAACACAAGAGAACCCATCGGAGTGTGTCGGGTATGGAAGGTAATGTTTGCATGGGTGTTGAAAGTGGTGTTTCGGGATGGCTTCCATAAGAGAAACCTCGAATGGGTGCATGACTCTAACGAACGCCTCCTCAGTGCAGAGAATAACAACCAAGTACCTAAAACAAAAGGCCTCTGAACTGCGTTCCTTGTCACAAATAGAACGCAAAAATCCCTCATCATTTTGATGAATTGCGCTTCAGGGTGACCACCACATACTGTGACATATCTCAGCAAGTTCAGTTAGAAGAGAACTTTACGAGACTGAACAATATTTTAGAGACCACAACTAGTCTTGCCGTTCTGATAGTTGACGGAACGAGGGGACTGCGTCCTAGGGGTACGGCCCATCTTGATGTGAACTCATCATACTCCAGTTAAAACATTTTGAGGCAGATCCTTTCCACTAGACCATTCTCATTCTGAATGACCAGGCTTTGTCTCATCTAAACAAACCACTATCAGGGATGCGAATAAACGATGGAACCTGTCGGTTACAAGCTATTACACATGGATGTAAACATTTCACATGCACATAGTCTTTGAAAATATGTTCCAAAGCCACGCCTTTAGCTCTCCTGCAAATTGAGCCATAAAAAGACGCGGTGCCAAGACACAGGATGACGGACTACTTAGATACCGCAATAGTAGCACACGTTTTCGTACGGCTCCCTAAGATCATAACTTCGGATTTCGTAAGATATAATCATTCTAACAGGCAAAGGCCGCACTGACAACCCATTTGTTGAGTGCTCCTATTCGGCGGGCATAATTGCCGAAACCAACGAACCTATTTGTGACTGCCTATTAATGTAGATTAAGCTCCGGCCAACAAATATACGATAAAACGTGCAGCAGTTTGGTGACGACAACTATGAGATGGTCCGAAGTGGACCAAGTCCAAAGAATAAACAAGTGAGTGAAGTTTTAGTTAACCAAGCTAAACAGTCTTTTTCTCTTCTGGAACGCGTAATACTTTCAGCTGGATGGCTGACTTGTTGGCAAATCGCAAGTCACATGCAGCCCACCGGAAGATGTGTTAGTCCACGTCAGTCATTATTGGATCTGCTACTAATTCAAACGCAAATTGTACTGCTTGGAATTAAGGTGCACTCAAACTTTCATCCGCAAATTGTATTGACTCGCCGGTAAGTTTCTGGCAAATGAGTCAGGAACAATCGCCTCAGTGGATATTTTTTAACCTACCATTTGAATTTGGTTGTTTGTCTCCGCTAAACCATATTTGCCGCTTTTGCGAGTATAAATGTGACCTAGAGATTATTTGACATTATACATAATCAGATTACTTTTCAGGACTATTTGTGGTGATGTCACGTGCGCAAAAATGGAAATATTTGAAAATGACTCTGGTTAATTATTTTTCTTTGTAAAAATAACCCTATCGTCGTTGTTTGTCTGCCCGTTAAACTTATGAAGATATATACTTGATGCACCCGATGTTTTACTTATACGGTTCTCTGTCGTGTATATTAGTGTATGCTTTAAACTTCGGAAGTGCCCGCTTTGGACGACCTGGTTAGCTGATCTCCACTCCACCCGACCTATGATCTACAACTCCGGGATCACCAAACGGACCAAGAAAACCTACAATCCCATATTGGTTTCGTTCCACCTTGTTTCCTCGACCAGGCTGAAATGAATACCGCTACTCAATGAACTGCATACCCAAGTCGAATCATCTCAAATGTGACTTCCGTCACGGGGCTGTCCAAAAACTGAAGCACATCAGGCCAATGATGGCACGGCACTGCCATACTCAGTTAGTAGCACACCCTCAACTGTGCCCTCTTACCTACTCGTTTCAGTGACCCCAACGACCACCATGACATTCATTCCAACCTATTGGACTACTCGTTCAAATTCAACCACCTCTGTGTCTCCATCCAACCTAACCCCTTTACCTGACTTCCCAGCAACAGGGCAACCAGTGAGTCTGCTTGTTCTCAGATTGCACCATACTTTTGAGACTAAACTTGCCGTGTTCTACCGATTCGAATTATCCCATCTCCACCTCCACTTTTGCTTTTTATGACTCCGGCCATTAACTCAACCGCCCAAGGTCACTCATGGCCAGCAATGGTTTTCCAGTTTTAGTTCATGTCAGCCAACTGAGTCACTGAATTACCCTGACCTCATGCCTACTGTTCCCTACAAGTTGCAAAAGAGACATATTATTATTATTTAATCGAGTACTTCCCACTGTTTGTGACATTGTCCCCTTTTCGTGCAGTCACCACTACCCGCAAATCCCTCAGTCATGCCCCATTCTGACTGTAAACGCATGATCATGCCAGACGGCATGCTACCCACAAGTTGGGAATAAACATTATTATTATTTTTCACTAAGTCCAAGTAGTTCACATTAAATCCTTTCAAGTTGGCATTCCAGTTGAACATAAATAGCTGCAAGAGAAGACAGTAAGAATCTGAACCAGGTGCTAACTCCTTGTGTCTTTTCATCAAACTCATCAGCTGTATTTAATACAAGCAGAAATGTCCAATAAAGCTTATGCATGATAGTGCCCGCGCTGTCAATGTGACGACCCTTTTAGATGGCAACCGCTACGCCTATGATAATAGCCATATTTGCAATTAACCCTCGAGTGTTTCTTAAATGCAATCTGAGATGTTACTGGAGCAAGAGATTTCCATAATTTAGGCGTTTCATGATTCCTGAGACAGGTTTTCTTCGGAAACAACACATGCCTTTGCACCTTCCCGCTAAGTATTCTCAGTGAATTTTGGTAAAAATCAGCGTCAGGAGTTTGAATGCTTGAAAATTTGGATGATTGTCGTACTACCAATAATCCACAAGGAGCTTCCTCCTCAACGTAATCCACCGTGAATGCCGTTTATTTGAAGAAAGGCATACCCTAACCGCATCGTTTGTGTAGCATCCTACTCCATTGGCTAACCATCAACATGAGAACTCTGACAGTCTACCTGAGTATTTCCTCAGGTGGATTGCATTGCTTTGAGCTTGAGATGCCTATAGTTATGTAGCGATTTCAAACTGTTTTCTGTACAGATAATGCAAGGTAGAGAATAGTTAAGAGCACGTACATCATTTCATGTGACGGAATTTTTTGAGCTTTAGTTGCTCAGTTGGTGAGAGCAAATGACCTAGCGATACGATTGCGTTTACCCTGTAGGAAACCAAACTGCTTCAATATGAACACGTTTCGATATTTGTATTGTGGCACTCAAGAAATGGGTAAGATGGCATTTTGAGCGTTTCAGGGACCAACACACAAAAGTACTTCTCGTGATGTGAGCAAATGATGAACAAATTCGGTTCGATGCAGATCTCTAAAGTGGCTACCTTTGTCGGAGTCAGCAATATATCCCCAAGAATCCATATAAATATTTGACATGTTATATG